ATGGATAATCAGCAGCATGAGACCAGCAACATGGATAATCAGCAGCACATATCAACAATCAAGTGTTTTCACAGTGATTATTCTGGTTAGAGGTTCATGAGTTTAACAGCCTCAGGGGAGAAGCTGTTCCTCAGTCTAGTGGTTCTAAACTTAATGCTCCTCAACCTCCTTCCTGAGGGGAGTGGGGCAAAAAGTGTGTGTGCTGGGTGAGTGGGGTCCTTCATGATGCAGGTGGCCCTCTTCCTTAGGGTTGGGCATTGTTTGAATCTGAATGATTCTGATTCTTTGTTTAAATTCTGGTTCCTATCAATTCCTGATTCCAATTCTTTAGAGGTGAGGTTAAAAAAAAGACATATCAATTCACTTCTATTTATTTATATTGTATAACACCAAGTAACAACAGAAGTCGTCTCAGGGCACTGAACAGAGACAATCAAATATAAAAATAATAAGTTAACACTATTTATCTGAGGAGCAGACTGCTTTGAGTTTAACTCCATCATGTTATAAATGAACTAGCCAGAGATTTCTGGATTAAATAATTTGAACTTCTATTTGAATTTTAATTCTATGAACTTTTACTTTTTAATTTTACTATGAATTTCTCACAGGGCTGTTTTAATCCAGTACATAAATATCAAATTTATGAACTTTAATATAAGTGTTATGAATTTTCTTTTCACAGTGGTACACTTTCACAAGAGAGTTTTGTGTTTGAAAACCTCATGGAAACACATTTAGTTTAGTGTGTGATGCTGCAGCCATGTTACTGAGCTCCCCCTGATGGACTAACCTGCTGCAGAATATCTAACTAAATTATTATTATTATTATAAAAAAGAACAACTTGTACAACCCAGTCCAGATTAGCAGCAGGTAAATCAGAAATGGTTCTTGTTGAGGAAAATGATGATATTCTCAGGCAGTGTGTGTGAATGTTCTGGACAGACAGTGTCTCCTGCAGTGGAGAACATGTCTGAAGGTGCAGAAGAAGCTTGAACACATAAATATGAGAAATCAAGATCTGAAAGCAACAAGTCTTGTGTTGGTTCCACCACCAGCAGCAGGTCCTCAGACAGAACGTCTGCTGGAATGTCCAGGTCCATCTGCAGCTCTCTCCACTTGTTTCTTCATGGACATGGAGCTGTGACATTATGTTGTTCCTCTTCCTCAGCAAAAAGCTCCTCCAGTGGAGACTTTCTGGACAGACTGCAGGGAGGTGGTTCCTAAACAAACAACAGTTCATCAGTATTATCAGTAAAAAGGGATTATTAAAGGCATGATCATTATTAAGACTGAGAATCTATAATTTCAGATATCATACTCTTCTCCTCCTCATCCTCCACTCCCTCATTCTCAGGCCTTTCCTCAGGCTGCATGGTGACCCCATCATCTCCACAGTCTTCCTCTGTTGACCATAAAGAACATTACTGGTATTTAGATTTCAGATTTTAAAGCAGAAAAGGACAGGTGTGCATGATATTTCACCTGCTCAATCAGCTTCTCTGGATCTGCTCCCAGACACGTCATCCATCTTCTGTTTAAAGCGCAGAGCAGCCTCCTCCTCTGTTAAGAGACAGCTTTTCTCTTTTTACATAAATTGCTTCCTTCACCCCCCTCTCAAACCATCTGTGTTCTCGGTCCAAAATGTGCACATGTTGGTCCTCAAAGAGTGTCCCTTCTCTGTGAGGTGGAGGTGAACAGCTGAGTCTTGTCCAGAGGAGGTGGCTCTCCTGTGTTGAGTCATGCGTCTGTGAAGAGGCTGTTTAGTTTCTCCAATGTAGAGGTCTGGACAGTCCTCGCTGCACTGGACCGCATACACTACACCACTCTGTTTGTGTATGGGTGTTCTGTCCTTAGGGTGGACCAGCCTCTGTCTGAGAGTCCTGCTGGGTTTGAAATGTACTGGGATCTTGTGTTTGTTGAAGATCCTTCTGAATTTCTCTGATACTCCAGCAACATAAGGGATGACAATGTTTTTACGTCTGTTGTTCTCCTTTTTCAGTTTATTAGTGTGTTTTGTAGATTTCCTCGCTGACTTGACAAAAGCCCAGTTAGGATATCCACATGTTTGAAGAGCTTCTTGAACGTGTTTCACTTCCTTTTCCTTCCCTTCTGTCTTCGTGGGGACGCATTCGGCCCGATGTTGTAAAGTTCTGATGACAGAGAGTTTGTGTTCCAGTGGATGGTGGGAGTCAAACAGAAGATACTGGTCTGTGTGGGTTGGTTTCCTGTACACTTCAATGTTGAGGCTGTCCTCTCTCTCCATCTGAACCAAACAGTCCAAAAAAGGCAGCTTGTTGTCGTTTGCATCCTCTCTGGTGAACTTGATGTTGTTATCGACCGAGTTAAGTTGTCTGGTGAACTCTTCTATTTCCTTGACTTGGATTTTGATCCAGGTGTCATCCACATATCGGAACCAATGATTGTAGGTGAAAACCTTACTGTAAGGTCAAAAAAGTCCATGCTCAATAATCCAGGTATACAATCCAACAATTTTCAGTCAGGTCATCTGGACAGTTTCTTTTGTTGCTGAAATATTTCACCTTCCATCCAGAAGGCTTCATCAGTCAAGGAAACGCACAACAAAAAGTGTGGGCACCCCGTCTTAAGCAGTCTGTTACAAATCTCAGGATGGTTTTAGACTCTGACTTTAAGTTTAATAACCAGATTAACTCTGTTTTACAGAAATCTTCTTCCAGTTAAGACCGATATCTAAGCTGAAGTCCGTGTTGATCAGATCTGACCTTGAAAAACTGGTCCATGTCTTCATTACAACCTGATTACTGTAACACTCTTTATGTTGGGGTCAGTCAGGTCTCCGTGTCACGTCTCCAGCTCGTCAGCTCTAAACAGGAACTAGTAGGTTTGAGCACGTTTCACCTGTTCTGTCCTCCCTTCACCGGCTCCCTGTACAGATCAGCATAGATAAAAATATTCTCCTGTTGACCTTTAAGTACCTAAATGACCTTGCTCCCTCATATCCTGATGCATGCTCAATAATCCAGGTAGAAAAATCCAAAAAAGTTCAATCTGGTCCTCTGGACATTCAAAAAAACAAAAAACAAAACAAAGCAAAAAAAAATAGAAACGTTTCATCTCTCATCCAAGAGACTTCTTCAGTCTGAGGTGCTGTATTCAGCTCAGTCTCTTAAATAGCACCTTCTCAGGGTGGATCAACCAGTTTGCTGCTGACAACCAGAACCAGCTGATCACATGCTCAAGAAGGACCATCAGCCTAACAATGGATCATTAGCACCTGATGGCTGTTTACTGTTCACAGAGGGCTGAGTGATACTAGCAATCACAGCATTGTAAGAGGGGGACAGTTGAACCTGGAGGCTCCACCCCTGTTTAATGATGGACGGTTTCTTTTCACAAAGATGGCCTCCTTTACTCCTCTCTCAAACCATCGTTCCTCTCTGTCCAGGATGTGGACATCTTCATCCCTGAAAGAGTGACCGCTGGCCTGGAGATGAGTGTAGACCGCAGAGTCCTGGCCTGATGATGTTGATCTTCTGTGCTGGTCCATCCTTTTGGCCAGTGGCTGTTTAGTTTCCCCGATGTAAGACTGATCACAGCCCTCCTGACACTGAACAGCATACACAATATTGCTCTGTTTGTGCCGGGGGACTGGATCTTTGGGATGAACCAGTCTTTGCCATAATGTATTTTGGGGTTTAAAAGCCACTGGCACGTTATGTTTAGAAAATAAACGTCTCAGTTTCTCTGATACTCCCTCAACATATGGAATGACCACTGGTCTGGGTCTGGGTTCCTCCTTTTCACCTGATGGCTGACTGGAGTCCTGTTTGGGTTGCATTCTGGACCAGTTGTAGTCGTGCAATGGAGGTCTGACTGATACCAAACAGGAGTGAATTGCAGTAATCAAGCCTAGATGTAATTAATGCATGTATTACTGTCTCCAGGTTCTTTTTGGACAATATGGGCTTCAGTTTAGACAGCCGCCTCAGTTGGAAGAAACATGATTTAACAATCATGTTTACAGGATTGTTAAGTTTCAGGGAAGGGTCCATTATCACGCCCAGATTAGTGACTCTTTGTTTTTCTGACAGGGTTAGAGCGGAGAGGTCGATGCAGTGGTTTGTGATCGTGTCGTTGGGAGGGAACAACATGACTTCAGACTTCTTTTCATCGAAACTTAAGAAATTTAAAGCCATCCAGTCCCTGATGTCAGCCAGGCAGTTGAGCAGAGGTTGAATAGAGCATGTACCATTGTGTCTTAGGGGGAAGTAAATTTGACAGTCATCGGCATAGAAGTGGAAGGGCATGTTGTGTTTCCGGAAAATAGCACCAAGCGGCAGCAGGTATAAAGAGAATGGGAGGGGACCCAGGATGGACCCCTGCGGAACCCCCCATTTAAGCTCTGCCTCTGCGGAACTAAAATCCTTGATGGAGACACAAAAGGATCTGTCAGCGAGGTAAGATCTGAACCAATTGAGGGCTGATCCTGTGATGCCCACCCACTGCTCCAACCTAGCAATGAGGATCTCATGGTCGATTGTTAGAGGCAGCATGTGTATTGAACGTTCTAATAAACAGAAAGAATTTGTAATTTCATGTAAATTTGTTTAAACTAATACACTTTGCTTTATTTGCTCACTTGCTGCACAATCACATCACTAAAAATACTCTTTTCATTAATCTGTACCCTTAATGGGTGCAGAATGACTCATTTTTAGTATTTTAAATGTAATTAACCTGTGTAATTTCACTTAAAATGTAATTTATTACAAATATTTTAATAATTATACAGCAAATGAGGGAAGAACTCAGTCATTGTTATACAAGTCAAAGGTGGATTTATCTTTTATTTTTATTGAATCATATTATTGTGTGGCTTTAAAATGATGACAAACTGATGTTGTGTTTTTCAACAGATCAATATACAGTAGGTAATATCCAATCATGTGTCTGTAAGCATATAGCACACGCTTCATTACAGCAGCTCAGTACAGTATTTTAATGTCACGGGAGCCAGGACGCAGAATCTGAAGTGTCAGGATGAGCATTATGGATTTTCTGAACCAGGGGTAGAAAAAGGCGTAGATGACCGGGTTCAAACAGGAGTTAAAATGTGCCAACCAGATGTCAAAGGGTGCAGATGAAGCATTTACTGAAGTGTCTTCGCCCTCCAACGCTGGGAAATAATACGGACAGAAACAAAATAAAAACACAACTACAACAACACCAAGAGTCCTGGCTGCTTTCATCTCATTTCTCCTTAAAGAGACGGGACCCAGTTTGGATTCAGCAGCTGCTGTCTGAGACCGCAGCGTCCGAGCCTGAGACAAAGCCGCTACAAATACTCTGAAATACAGAACGATGATGACAGTGATGGGTACGATGAAGGTGAAGATCATGTCGATTACCCCTGCAACATTACTTATGATGACCACACACTCTCCAGAGCAGGTGTTGGACTTGCCTGGGTTCTCCAGGTGGTCGTTTAAAAGAAGAAGCCTGTAAAGCACAGAACAAACCCAACACAAGCACACACAAACCTGCGCTCTGCCCTTATTAACCTTGGTGGCGTAACCAAGAGGGTCACAAATGGCTAGGTAGCGATCCAGTGAAATGAACACCATGTTTGCGACAGAGGCGGAGGTGATGACGTAGTCAGCGAAGTAATACAGAGTGCACAGAATGTCACCAAGAAACCAGCAGACTTCTATGTAGATGATCTCAACTGGCATCAGCAGGAGGCCCACCAAGAGGTCAGAGACGGCCAGAGAGAGGAGAAAGAGGTTGGTGGGAGTGTGGAGTTGCCTGGAGATGGAGAAAATCATCACACAGTGATAAAGTAGTGCTTAAATAGACGGAAAGCTGCAGAGAGGGAAATGGGAAAAGGATGACACTGGTATAGAAAACTCAAACATCAAACCATTTTCTTAATTTACACCAGAAAAATATTTTAGTTCACAATATGTGCCTGAAGTGGGAGATGGCGATGATGACCAGTAGGTTAAGAGCGATGGTGACGAAAGAAATGGAGGAAAGTAGAACGTATATCAGCATAACTGCAGCGTGAGGCTGTGCTGGCTTCCTGCAGGAGGAGTTCAGATGTGGAAGGCAGAGCTCTGATTCTTCCAGAGCCGTCATCGTCAGAGAGAAGAGCCTGCTGAAACTCGTCAGGCCCACGCCAGTTTTATCTCTTGTGCTGGTGACCCCTCCTCCCTCATACTTACAGTGTGCGTCATCAGTGATGTCATCAAATGTGGATTAATTTTTCAAACACCGCGTCGTATTGTTCCACTTTCATGTGACAGTTTTTCTTTGGTTTCAGACTACGTCCACAGGTGTACACTTCAGGCAGTCACAGACTCAGTCTCGTTGTCATGGTAACAAGGCGCCTAAAACATCCTTTTTTCATTCAACCTTTATTTCTACAGGTTAGTCTCATTGAGCCTCGGGGACTCATTTACAAGAGAGACCTGATTTAACGAAGAATGATGACAACAGTGGACAATAATAGACAATCATAAAGGATGCGTACAAATTTATTTATTTAACAAGGGAAAATAAATTGTTAATTAAAAGGAAAAGTAGTTAAAAAAACAGCTAGATTATAAGGCGGTGCAGAAAAATAAAACAGGAACATGTCTGCAGGAACTGAACAGAAGTTTGAAGCCACTTGGAGAGGTCAAGGTTGAGAGCTTCAGATCTTTTTGTAAGATATTCCAGGAAACAGGAGCGGAGTAAAAACAGTTGGCTGCCTTCACAACGATTCAACATTCAAAAACATTGACACCACATTTTAGAGTCAACTAGAAAGTTCCTGGGGAAACTTTGATGGGACTGCGACATGGCACCCATTTAAAAAGTTTGGTTTGGCAGTATTGTGTGTTGGGGTTTGCTCTCAGATCAGAGAGTCAGAGTCAGAGACTCTTTATTGTCATTCGCACCTCATGTGGTACATGTGGTGGAGCGAAGGTATGTACACAGGGTCCCAGTTACATCCAACAATAAAATGTATAAGAAAAACAGTAATAACATCTAAGATATGAACTAAGAAAAACATCAACTAAATATACACTAAGCACTCATAACATAAAACATTGAACATCAGCACAAACATGAACATGAGTCTGTGAGCAGATGTGCACGCATGAACACATCAACATTGAAACAGATCAGCAGCAACATGAAACAGATCAGCAGCAACATGAAAAAGATCAGCAGCAACATGAAACAGATCAGCAGCAACATGAAAAAGATCAGCAGCAACATGAAAAAGATCAGCAGCAACATGATGCAGTTTTTCACAGTGATTCTCCTGGTTAGAGATTCATGAGTCTAACAGCCTCAGGGTAGAAGCTGTTCCTCAGTCTAGTGGTTCTACACTTAATGCTCCTCAACCTCCTTCCTGATGGGAGTGGGGCAAAAAGTGTGTGTGCTGGGTGAGTGAGGTCCGGTATACCAGTAAACCAAATTTCAGCTTAATATCTTTTAAAATAACTGTTAAAATATTTTTCCCTTTTAACTAAGATGGCCATTTTGGGTAAGTCGGGCTTGTTCCCGCTGACAGTTGGACTCCGCCAAGGTTGCCCTTTGTCACCGATTCTGTTCATAACTTTTATGGACAGAATTTCTAGGCGCAGCCAAGGTGTTGAGGGGATCTGTTTTGGTGGCCTTAGGATTGCGTCTCTGCTTTTTGCAGATGATGTGGTCCTGTTGGCTTCATCAGATCGTGATCTACAGCTTTCGCTGGAGCGGTTCGCAGCCGAATGTGACGCGGCCGGGATGAAGATCAGTTCCTCCAAATCCGAGGCCATGGTCTTGAGCCGGAAAAGAGTAAAGTGCCCTCTCCGGGTCAGGGAGGAGGTCCTACCCCAAGTGGAGGAGTTCAAGTATCTTGGGGTCTTGTTCACGAATGAGGGATAAATGGAGCGTGAGATCGATAGGCAGATAGGTGCAGCGTCTGCAGTGAAGCGGGCGCTGTACCGGTCTGTCGTGGTGAAGAGAGAGCTGAGTCAAAAGGTGAAGCTCTCAATTTACCGGTCGATCTACGTTCCTACCCTCATCTATGGTCACGAGCTTTGGGTTGTGACCGAAAGATTGAGATCTGGGATACAAGCGGCCGAAATGAGTTTTCTCCGCAGGGTGTCTGGGCTCTCCCTTAGAGACAGGGTGAGAAGCTCGATCATCCGGGAGGGACTCGGAGTAGAGCCGCTGCTTCTCCACGTCGAGAGGAGCCAGTTGAGGTGGCTCGGGCATCTGGTTAGGATGCCTCCTGGACGCCTCCCTGGTGAGATGTTCTGGACACGTCCCACCAGGAGGAGACCCAGAGGAAGACCCAGGACACGCTGGAGGGACTATGTTTCTCTGGCTGGCCTGGGAACGCCTCGGGATTCCCCCGGAAGAGCTGGCCCAAGTGGCTGGGGAGAGGGAAGTCTGGGCCTCACTACTTAGGCTGCTACCCCCGTGACCCGACCCCGGATAAGCGGAAGAAAATGGATGGATGGATGGCCATTTTGGATTTTTAATTTGCGTTAGGACTATATAACAACGTTGCTCTCAGCAATGACCATATCAAATTTCAACTCAAAATCTCAAAGAATGACCGAGTTATAATAAACTGAGTGTTTTCTGAGGTAGCTATGGCAGCCATCTTGATCCAAAATGGCTCCAAAAGTTCATCAGTATTTTGTTCGGCACTCTCTGCCCTCTAGGTCATGTGACCTCACTGGCAGTAAGAGACAGTTAAGAATTATGTTCTTCATCCACCGAAGTTAGACATGGAGTTCCTCAGGGTTCAGTGCTTGAACCAATAGTCTTTACTTTATATATGAGCTGCCATTGTGTATCTGTTCCTACCAAACCCAGCCGGTCGAAGCAGATGGTCCTCTTGTCCTGATCCTGGTTCTGCTAAAGGTTTCTTCCTCATGAGGGAGTTTTTCTTTCCACTGTCGCCTTCATGCTTGTTCAAGATGAGAGTTCTGTGATGGAGTTAAACTCAAAGCTGCTCCTCAGATAAATAATGTTCAATTATTATTTTATACATGAATGTTTCTGTTAAATTGTTATTTTATAGATGAATGTTTCTGTTAAATTGTTATTTTATAGATGAATGTTTCTGTTCAGTGCCTGAGATGACTCATGTTGTGACTTGGAGCTTTAGAAATAAAGTGAAATTAGATTAAATGAGAAAAATGGCTTCTTTGTTTGGTATTGCAGCAGCTTGGTTTCCCTCACAGCTAACTCCTCTGTTTACACTGGTGTCATCATCTGACACTAATGGCAGCAGGTGTGAAAACTGCCCTAGCTAGAGACCTAATGTTCATCAACAGCAGCTAATGAGCTTCACACCTTCGAGTTGTGACGAGCCCACCCAGGAGCTCACTGACACACCATGTGCATGTTTGTTAAATGAGACAAAAGTTGTGTCAACTGCACATTAACCGTTCATCACATGGCCCCCATGGTCACAGTTACTCCCATGTGTGGGTTTGACTGACAGGCTTCAACATCCAAATCACTGACGTCATCTTTTGATCTGCTCTACGCAATCATACTTTTCAGTAAATTAGCTGTTATTAGTTTGTATTCTATTTAATCTAAAACAAATTGTTTTACATGCTACTATCAATGTGATAAAAGATTAAAATATAGTGCACACAGTCTAAATTACTGCTTTTAGAGTTCAACAGATTACTGAAAAATTCAAACTAAATGTTATGAAGTTCAAAGTCAAGAAACTGCTGTGTGAACGTAGCCCTGGTGAGAACAGTGGCACAAAATCAGTCTTTCAGTTTTAAAGATGAATCTTCAGTATGACTCTTGGCTACAAGGCTTCAAACAGACTGCACTGCATTCTGTGATTGGGCTTTAGACACTTGTATTGTTGGGAAACAATTAAAATCATAGCTTAGGAGTAGTTTGAGTAATGTGCCTAAGTCTGAAGTTTGAACGGCCTGCACTGTGGTATCCTGTTCGTAGACGCCAGATTGTGATGGAACTTTTCCATAAACAACAGGACAACAATTGTCTGGAATATTTATTAAAGCTGTACAGCTGAGAGTCGCACCGCTAACAGTCACCAGAGTGAGTCTGACCCTTCAAAAGGCAGCCTGTAGTTTTACAGAAACGTAACAAAAGATAACAGAGTCCACGCTCAATAATCCAGGTATACGATCCAACAATTTTCAGTCACGTCATCTGGGCAGTTTCTTTTTTTTTTTCTGAAACGTTTCACCTTCCATCCAGAAGGCTTCATCAGTCTAAGTTTGTTTTCCATTTTGGGGTAAGCTGTTGGAGGAGAATCAGTTTTGTGTGTTTCCTTGACTGATGAAGCCTTCTGGATGGAAGGTGAAACATTTCAGCACAAAAAAAAGAAACTGTCCAGATGACCTGACTGAAAAATGTTGGATTATAACAAAAGGTGTTTTGACCGAGAAGAGGTGAGGGTGAAAATAGTCAACCACGTTCCAAGTTAAAACAAGTAACCGGTACACAGCCTTCTGGATGTGGGCGAAAACACTTGACCGCGCTGTAGCTTAAAACAAGTCACATGATGTGACGCTGCTCGCAGGCACTGAACATGCTTTTAATAACATCAGTAAAACATTAATGTGAATATGAGTAAATAAACATTATCAAATGAGCAAAGTGATGTGTCTTTATTTTATTTTTCTCTTCACATTTTTATAGTCAGATACTTTCCCAAATTTTTGAAGCAAAGTAAGTAATTGAGGAATGCTGGTAATAAGGTCTGAAATACTGACCCTTTCCAAAAAATTAAAATATCATGGAAAAGTTGTTTAACTTCCATAATTCCGTTCAAAAAGTTAATCTTTAATAGATGATCGATTCAGGGCCCACAGTTTAAACAATTTCAAGTGTTTATTTGTTTATTTTTACATAATTTGAGCTTCTAGCTCATGAAACCCACGAAAACAGGATTTCAAAAAATTAGAATCAGCCCAAATGTTGCAGGACATGAATGTTTTACCATACCATACCATTTTATTTATAGATCACTTAAAACAGCTACAAGGCCAACCAAAGTGCTGTACAGACAGAACAACAGGTAACACACAAAGCAAAATACAAAATGAGGTAAATCAGAATATAGACATAAAAACGATGCAGATAATGACGAC